TGCGTGTACCCTCAAACATTTGTTATTAACAATTTGAAAGGATTCACAAAGTTATTATTATGTGGAATTAGAGGAATTACGCTAACAAAGTAAGATTGTATCAATTGTTACATGCTGCGCTGTTATGACAGCAGCGCACATTTTTCGTTTATTTATATAATATGTAAACAAGCCACTAGGTGGCGAACTTGCAAAAACTTGTAACCCAGAAATGAACCGTGGCTGAAAATGCTTATTATCCGAGTCGAAATAAAGCTCCGAGACTCTAACGAGACTTTTCTCGTAATTGTTATCCGTCCGATAACACAATGTTAAAAAATTTCTTTTTCCTTTAATTTGTATTTCTTACTCTATATTAATTAAAAAACTTTAAATCTTTTTTAGCTTTATCAACAAAATTTCATTAGCAAAAGTAATACTAAGTTTCTATGAATTCTATGAATCAAACGAATAACTAAGCGATTCATTACTGATTACCAGCAACTAATAAATTTTTTGTATTTTTGCAGATGCGAAAGCTGCCAGTTTGTGTGCGTAAGTGTAGCATGACAACGAATAGCTTATTATGTAAGTGATTAGAAAAGTTTACTCTTGAAAATTAATCTTTAGAGTGTTCAAGAAATGTCAAAAAATGTTGAAATTCCTTATCCCTTGTGTGCGTTAATTCATTCTTGAGAAAAAAATTTTTGCAATCTTTTTATATTCGAGTTAAAGAAAAAAATCAAATCAGATTAAACATTTTTATTTAAAGTCGTAATTAATATGTACGCATGATTGGAGTCACAACAAAGGTTTTTTTTAAAACGAACCCTGCAAAGTTTGTCCATTATTGAACTACATGGATAAGTTTTAAGATCATTTGTACAATTATCAGTAATATGTGTACTAAAGTAGCTTGAATCCATGGGACCATCATAAAATTCGTTTTTACTCTTTGTCCATTCTCTACCAATTATCATTATGTTGTCAAATTTTTTCGTAAAGTTTTCACATTCGTATATAATATTATTTTTTAGTAAAACGTAATTTTTTTTACCGTCTATATGTTGACACATAGTTCCTTTTAGTAAAACAGAAAATTGTAAAACATTTCTATCAAGGAATATAATCAGGCCATTATTGTGATTATTTCTAGAATCCTATAGGACTCCCGCAGGAATTTCGCGGGATCCTATAGGAAATTTTTATAAGGGTTTTTAGAATTACTTTCTTATCAAATTCATTTACAAACATAGAGCTTTTATTCACATTTTTTTTATATATTCTCCTATCAATTTGTTGAAGGATTCGATCTCCCATTTAATATTTTTTTTAATATATCCCGCGTAAAAAAAATCAATGTCAATGTTTGCACCAGACATGGGCCATATTTGGTGCACACTTGGGCCAGGTTATGTGCATTTTTTTTAAGCGGGATGTATATGATTTTCAAATCGAAAAGCGCTAAAATTGTCTAATGCTCCAAAATTACGTACGTCTTGTACTAGGTTATGAAGGTTATGAACATTAAAAGAAACATTTTCTCAGCCATAAATTTCGGCATACTCTACTCTAAAAAAAATTAACAATTTTTCAGCGATTCTAAGATATTGTTCGTTCTCACATAAAATTTGATTTGTTAGTATTAAAATTGCTACTTGAAGCTTTAAGAAATGTAAATATATATTGTCTTCCAAAATATTTTCAAGTACAATGGGTCCCATGTAGAGTAAAAATTGCCAAAATTCATGTGCCCTCCATAACCTTTTAGCGTTTTCTAAACTTCGTGGTTTACGACTAAAATCTGATGGCACGTAATCTTTTAAAAATTTTAATCGATCCGAGACTTTTTGTTTTTGATAGCTAGACAATTTATATTTGAACCAAAGAACGATTAGTTTTTCCATAATCCTTAAACAAATCAGATGCAAATAATCTAGAGGGACATTTGTTACCAGGCCGAATCCTGGTATAGTTAACGAATTAGTTTTTCCTTGATGGTATCCATCATTTACACCATCATCTGCATATACATAGTTTTTAAATTCATCATCATTTCTCAAATTTTCAACTTTACCGGGAAAGCAAACTTTACCAATCGATTTACCTTTAACTTTACATTTTGAGCAAGACCAATAACTAGTGTGATATTTAGTTTTCAATGTATATTAGGGCGGAACGAAAAAACACTTTTGACGCCGATCGCTTTGTAATAGTATTTTATCGAAAGTTTCAGATAAAAAAAGAGAAAAGCCGCGAGCTGGGCGCGAACAAATGATGTCTTCAGGTGGCGCATGAAGCCTGAAGTTTGAAATTCGTAAAAACAATATCTTTATGCTTCAGTATGAAATCGTTACCAAATTTTTCTGCACTGGATTGGCCGATTGGGCTGAAAGTTTCAGGGCTTGTTTTACATGTTGAAAGGAGTTTCTCTGTAAAATTTTAGCCCTCTAGGTGCCTTAGAAGCAAAGATATAGTCATAGGAAGGTTGAAAAATTACGTTACATTAATTTTTTTTTGTTCTTTTTCCATCTTCACACAGCTGTACGTTGCGTAATTTTGCTGCTATTAAAACGAACGAGTAACCAATTTCTTCGTCTTTTAAAGGCCTTTTCAACCATATAAATTTGTATAGTGTTTTTTAAATTTTTACTGAAGTTACAGTATAAAACGTCCAACATTTTGTGTCGCGCTCGAAACTACAATTGTTATTTTTTTTTCTGTTTCTTAAAAGTTACACATTCTAGACAAACTTGAACCCCAATGATAGTTATATGGCCTTAAAGAGCATAAAATTTCCTTTAATTTGGTGTATTTAAAAACTCTCTAGGTCCTCTAGAACCAAAGATACAGCTGTTTGAAGTTTTACTGAAAATGTAAGATTCGATTGTGTGATGATCATACCATATCTGGCCTATGATAGATTCACAGATTCAGTACTTTCATTTTTGGTAAAACTTCAAACAGCTGTATCTTTGGTTCTAGAGGACCTAGAGAGTTTTTAAATACACCAAATTAAAGGAAATTTTATGCTCTTCAAGACCATATAACTATCATTGGGGTTCAAGTTTGTCTAGAATGTGTAACTTTTAAGAAACAGAAAAAAAAAATAACAATTGTAGTTTCGAGCGCGACACAAAATGTTGGACGTTTTATACTGTAACTTTAGTAAAAATTTAAAAAACACTATACAAATTTATATGGTTGAAAAGGCCTTTAAAAGACGAAATACTAATACTTATTATCTGGCATATTTTTATTAGTACAGTTTTACAGTAGCATGCGTAACGCGATTACACGCTCTGACACGCCGATGTTTGTAGTGCAAAAAAACATGTCCAGTATGATAAATCATGTTTGATATTAGTATCACCTTAAAGATTAAGTTTTTATCTTTCAAATGACCGGTCTAAAATCTATCTAACGCTGTTATTTCAAAAGTTATGGGTATTTGAAAATGTCCAAAAATGTGCATTTTTTCCTCTTGGAGTCTCAATATCTCGGTAAATACTCATTTTACGAAAATTTTATCAGAGACACTTTTTGCTTAAAATTGCTCAAAGAACACAAATATGTGTTCAAAATTTAGAAAAATTTAAATTTTCTTGATTTTGCAATATATTTGTTTATAACAAATTTTTGGGCAGTCTGAGCGACTTTTAACTATGATATTCGGATTCAGCGGGAAAAAATACATAAGAATAACATGTTTTCATCCATCTTCTTCACGTGGCCGATCCGACCCCTCTTTGGCTCCAGGACTAAAATTTTAATTCTCGTCTCGACTGCCGAGAATCTCGACGTATCGAGAAATGATACGAAAAGTCGGGAAATTTGATTTTTTTAGTTTCTATAACTTTATTTGATAAAATATATTAAAATAATTAATTATAATTAATAATACATCAAATTAATGGTAAAACAAATAAATAATTAATTATATGAATAATTAAATAAGTTTAAAATTTTCTTTACAATAAGCTTGTTGCTCAATATGTTTCGATAACAATTTTAGTCTTTCTGGACTACATATTTTTTTAACCCTCTTAAAAATTCTTTCACTACTGGCTTGCGAAGCAGGACCTCCTAAATAATTAATAGCTACTCGAGCCACATGAGGATACTTATTTTTATTTTCTTTCCACCACGTCAAAGGATCATCTTTTACATTAATTATGGATTGGTTGTTGTAATTTTCCACTTCCATCGTGATTTCGTTTTGCGTTAAATTTCGAGCATCATCTAAATCTTTACGAGCACAAAAAAATTTACAAATTTTTGCGAAGGGCTCACCTGTAAATTAATTTTTTCGTGTATTTAAGTATTCAAATATTCTAGGGAATTTGTGGTACCCAATTTTTCATTTGCTTGTACGAAATTTTAAAAAATGTACACCGAACTCTAAATACCCTTGATGTTTACTGAAAAAATGTCAATTTCGTAAACGAAAATGAAAAAATTTGGGCACCAAGTTCTATTGAATGGAATAATAAAAAGTTTCTTACCGGTAACAAAATCATGTCTATCGCTCGAATAGTTTTGTGAGGTCAAATTAGACGACGAGGTTTTATTTGGATGGAAATCATTAAGGTGGTTCTTTCAATATTTGTTGAGACATGAGACCTACCCTATTTTATAGATTAAATCACGCTGAATTCAATGGTATAATTATTTATGGGGCTTACGCTACAAAATCTCGAGATATTTTATCTCAAACTATGCTATTTTAACATGGGAAGCATAGAACGGCCACCATTCATATGGTATTTCTAATCAAAACTTAATTTGTTCGGGTATTGGAGTGTATAGGTTTTATAGAAAAAACTCTCATCTTTCAGCCTGTGTATCGTAAAACAGGGCTTACGCTGCAAAAAATCAAGATTTTTCACGTCAAAGTGAAAAAAACGATGTTTTTGCTATGAATCAGCTGATGTCAGGCTGCGCAGTGCTTACTGCGCATACAAAATATACAGTTCTAATCAAGAGTTCATTATAGAAAAACTTAAACTGAAAGAACCACCTTAATCGCTTGGAGAAGTGCATTTTTTGGCAAATATTTTTAGATCCTCAAATTCATCCTCTAAAAACCTATCTTTGAAGCGAGGATCAACCATCATAGCCACAAAAAGAATTTTACGCGAGGAATTATCGGAAAATTCGTTTAAATTAAATAAATGATCGAATCTATCTTTGATTTCAAATCTAAATGAAGCGGTTAATTCATTGCACTCGGAGTCCTGATCGTTTTCCGACTGCATCGTGTTCAATAGAGCTAAAATCATCGGTATATAACAAGAAATCGTTGGATATTTCTCTCCTTCCATCAAGGTAGCGACTGCAGCAATAGGTGAGACAACAGATATATATTTATCGATCGTCGTCCACTCTTCTACACTTATCTGTTCGATGCCTAATCCAGCTGATACGGCACTCAGAGATACTTTTAATTTCACTAAACGTTGAAGCATCAGCAACGAAAAAAACCATCGATGAGGTACATCCTGAATTAATGTCAGAGGCTCGCAATTGGGATTTATGGTTGTCTGCATGGATTTCGATTGTTGCATCGCGACGAATGATTTTTTAAAAGATGTAACAATTTTTTTAGCTTTTTTAATAACTTGTACCAAATTTTCAAAGGGTTTTTCGGCATCTTTTACAGCCAAATGAATCGTATGATCGAAGCAAGGAATTCTTGTCCACTCGGCTGATAATTCAATAGCACTACGCATGTTTGCCGCATTATCTGTTATCCATACCGAGACAAAACTTTCGTCGTTCAAACCATATTCTTTTAATTGATCTTTTAAAAATGTGTTGATATTCATTCCCGTATGACGTTGAGACATATTTCTAACGGCGAGAACGAAGCTTTTTTGCTCGAAATCATCCGTAACATAGTGCAACGTCAATGACATGAAGGAAATAACTGAACGAGTTGTATATCCGTCGGTCATTAAATAAATCATACGTCTATAATCTAGAAATACAAAAAAAAGTCGATGAAAAATTTAAATTAAAAGTTAATGAATATTATTATAAGTTTCTAGAAACTATATGAGAGATAATCATTTATTCGTCATTTGTTTTCTTACAAAAATAAATTGCATACCTTTTTTAACTTCATTTTGCATTTGAACGATCAATTTTCCTTTGATGGAATTGTACATTTTCGGTATTATGCTGCGTGAAAATGTTGTCGGATGAGGTATTTTGTAATTGGGATTGAATGTTTTCATCATTTCTTGAAATCCTTCTTCTTTCACAACAAAATATGGTTGAAGATCTTTTACCATAAAAGCTGTGATTGACTTCGTATCGTCGCCCCAGCGCAGGAAGGTATCTATTTCCAAGCTGCAGCAAGAAGGATACTTACTCGCGCGCAGAGGCAAAAAGGTATCTAACTCGAGCGCAGCGGCAAAAAGGTATCTAATTCGAGCGAGAAGCAAAAAAGTAGCTTATTCAAACGAAGTGGCTAGAAAGTTTTGACGCGCCGAATTTAGGTTGGCAACGGAGCCGTAAATGATAAAATTTTGTTTTGTATTAGAGCAAAAAAGAAAAAAAACAAGTGAGCTAGTGTAATGATTTTCATTCATTTTTAAGGCGAGCAAACAAATCAATCTCGCCGCGATTTCGACTCAATTTGCCACTTATGGAGAACTTTGTATGTTCTGAGAGGATAGTAGAAGTTATCGGCTTTACATAACTTTGAATTAAATGTTGAATGTTGAATGTTGAAACAAAATTTTATCATTTACGTCTGCGTTGCCAACCTAAATTCAGCGCGTCAAAACTTTCTTGACACTTCGTTTGAATAAGCTACTTTTTTGCTTCTCGCTCGAATTAGATACCTTTATGCCGCTGCGCTCGAGTTAGATACCTTTTTGCCTCTGCGCGCGAGTAAGTATCCTTCTTGCTACAGCTTGGAAATAGATACCTTCCTGCGCTGGGGCGACGGTATACAAAATCGCTTGTGGATGAGTTCGCGGCATATAATCAATTTGTTTATCAGGGGTTTTTGCGGAAACCTCGCGGTTAATTTCAACGTCTGGGTGTTTTTTTTTGTATATGTCTCCATAAGCCAGTCGTTGAACTTCCACCTGTGCTTATTTTTTTATCGCAAAAGATACAACTAGCGAACTGCTCCCCCTCTATTTTATTATAATACTCCCAAACTGGACTCGTATGCGATTTGCTTCTCGTGGTATTATTGTTCTCCTCTATACGTTCAGTCACAGCTTCATTTTCCTCAACGTCTATTGTAAATTCGGCGTCTGATATTTCAGAATCTCCCGATGAGCTTTCGTCGTCTTCGTCCAAAATATCATAAAAGCTCTCGTTATCTTCGTAATCATACTCGTCATCGTTCTCTGACAAAAATTCTTCGTCGTAAGAAACGTAATCAGCATCAATATTTTCCATTATTGTTTAATGGTAACTAATCACAAAATTAAAAAAAAATGATCTATTTAATTTAAAAAGTTTATATTTTAACTACGTAATGATGAAAATGATAGCTTACCTGTAAATTAAATAGTACTTCAAATCAGCGAATTTGCACTAGACCACGTTCAGCAAAGGATGACAATTATTTTATCTCGAACAATATTATGAACTATATTTTCAATTGCACATTGCACAAACAATCACTCACGAGAATTCGAACCAATTATAACAGTGACATAAGCGTAGTACAAAAATATTCGTATGTATTGTAAAAAATTAAAATTATCCGAAAAATCCAAATGATTATGTGAGGGTAATCAAAAATAAAAACGATCTGAACGAGTTGACTTCAAAATATGAACTAATGCGCAGGAGTGACCGAACAAGCCAGGGTACAAAACGTAAACAAACGGGTGCATCGTTCGTGTTGTGTAAGCGTTCGAACCGGTAGCGTTCGAAAATTTAAACGATCGAAGTGCACCGGCTCCAGAATGTAAACAAACCAAAGCCTAGTATACGTTTAAAGCAGGTATTTAAAAAGAAATTAGACTATACACATTTTTTATACATAATTTTTGAGTTTTAAACAATCTAAAAAATATAAATCATTTCGTATCAATCTCTTCGTATCAATATTCATCTCTTGGGGCGGGTTTTTCCTACAGGTGTACCTCTAGTGCGAATCCACTGGTACACCGTACACTGGTACAAGGTTTTCCTTGCCCCTCAGGTCCCGGTGACCTGGGCGAATGCGAGGCAGTTGTGGGGCCTACAGGCTAACCTTCTGAAGGGGCCGCCTGATTGCCATATCCACATAAAAAAAAATCAATCGAATCGATGAAGCATGACAAGGAGAAAAAAGTTTGTACAAAGTTCTTTCATCGAACCTCTCAATGCGATCGACAAACTCAAAGTCGCGCGACCGAATATCAAGTACGTTTCGATCCGCGGAAAAGTGCACCGTAACCCACACGCGTACAGACATGCCTCAGGTGATCAGCGCTATATATACGTGTAGCATGCGCAGCCTATAAGAGATGCATAAATTTTGCATATACGCAGCGCGGCCCGCAAGCCACGACGTCCACTTGCGTAATAATAATTGATATGATAAGTAATTAAAACGTCGCTGCAGTCTATATACATGTAATGTATGTATAACGTTACGTATGCACAGACACACACACACACACACGTGTGTTCGTTATATTATATACGCATTTAAGAGCTCCGCACGATATTGCGGTTATTCATTTAGATTAACACTTGTGTTATGTGTATACAACAAGTACCGAGCTACCGCGCGCCAGAATTCATTCATCGTCGTTACGGGGCACACGTAGCTATGATATAAAATGTCGAAAGGCTAATTCTCTCTCGCTCGCTCACGCCTGATATTATTCGATATTACGACTTCATTAAAAAATTAGCTCGTTTAACTTGCAAATCAGCTGTTATTATTATGATTATTATGCTGCTGCCGCAGCTTTATCATATCGCTCCCCTGGAGAAACTATGGAATAAATCAATGGCCGCGAACGGAGTGTACGAAATCTTAACCGATAAAAGCTTCGACGTTTATTCGTACTTTAGCTCAATACGAATGAAAAAAATGGAAAAAAAGAGGAAGAAATTCAACTAGACTCCAATTCGTCTCTTTTCAACTTTGCGTGTCTTGTTTATCACATACGCATTTTCCACGGCAAGTTACACGTTTGATCAAAGCTGACGATAAATGTGGATAATTCGAGGCGGTGCACACGCGTATATATATAATAGGCTCGAGCTCTCTTCTCTCTGTCTCTGCTTGGGGTCGTGCACTCTAATTCGTGTATATAAGCATATACTTGCGCTTGTTTAAGAGGGGGCGCCGGGGAGTTATTTTTGGAGTCACTGTACAAGAGAGCGTTTAGACATCAGCGTTACTTTCGTCGCGCGTTTCTCCGATAGTTTATTTGCTCTTGTTCTTCCACTTTTTTTTCGCCACGTTCGGATTTGATTATGGAACCAAGAGATTTATGGTATTATAATATCGAATGTACGTATCCGCACGATTGATTTATTTACGATCGGGCAATTTTGAGGCTCTTAAAAGCGAGGAAGCTCAATTATACTCGGGTCGATTGTGTTATAATAGCTACATGTATCGAGTGTTTGCGGTTATTCGGCTTTTTCGGCTGTACATCGAAACTCGCTCGAGCGTAAAATCACTCGATATCGTATTCGAGTATCGAAAAATACGAGTGTAACCGAGTCGAAACTCCAAATCTCAGGTGCGTGCACTTCACCTTGATCCACTGTAATATACCGAAACTATTTTAACTATCCGCGCGCCGCAAGTAAGTACACCCTGAAATAGCCGCACCGAGTAAATATATAATCCGTGGGGCTATATTTACGTATTAAAGCGCCGGACGGTGCAGTGAACGCGGCGCAGACGACGGCCACTCTTATACTCTCGTATCGCAGCTGCAGCGAATCCTCGAGTCGTCGTGTCGTGTCTGCCGCTTCCGCGAATAAGTCGTGCGCCGGGCCTATATAATGTCAAGTGTACTCTCGCTCTCGCTCTTATGCTCTCATTGTTTTGCCGTCGGTGCGGTATTTTATAGTACGTATACCGAGCAAATTCGGTAATGCGCTCCCTCGACTGTCTTTGACTGTTAGCTATACTAGCTTCTATGGGGCTCGCTCGAATTCGAGACACCGGAAAATCGAGAATCGCGACGTGTAAGTATACGCGTCTCGCCGATCGCTATTTCCGGAATCGCATCGCATCTATGTGTTTCGGCAACACATGTATACGCGAGAGATCGGGCTTTATTTCATCGCCACGCACGCATTATGTCGTACGATACGTACGTGCACATCGCTGCGTTTCTGGACTGGCTAGACGCGATTACGCACTCTCCTTCTCTTCCTCTGTAATCGCCTGCGGAAGTCGGAAAAAATCTTACGTTATACAGTGTGCTAGACGCATTTAAGTACGTTCCTTTTTCGCGTTGACAGGGCTATGAAGATTTTTCGAGGGTAAAGGTGAAGAAAGTTTCAATATAAGTACGCAAGGGGATATCTGCCGTGTCACGAACGATAATATTTTCATATGGTACTTGTGCGCGGGGGTCGAGTGTCAACGCGCAGGTAAGTCGTTCATCCGATCTACGCATCGGATTTTCCGGCCCCTACTATTTATTTTATCAGTTTGCGAGGGTCGTGCGAGCTGTAGCAGAGATTTATGAATTGACTTACATGATAAATGAGAGGATTGCCTAAATAACTCTCGCATTTGAATGATGTAAATTAGCTCGCATATTTCAAGCTACAAATGAAGTGGCTGTAAAGGTCCACTCGAAATATATAGTACACGGCAATATTACTGATCACCGCGAGCGCGTAAACCCTGCTGTATACGATCGAACTCGAACCAGGAAATGCGCAATCTCGACACTCTCGATGTCGTTCCCTAATTCCCTGTAAATCAAAAAATTACGACTCTGCGGTTCCTCCGCGCGCGCGCCATTATTTCTTCAAACTGCCGAACGATTTTTTCTTTCTCAAAGTGGTTATTAAACAACAAAAAGAAAAGATGAAATAGAACAACGTCGTTTCTTCTTCCCCGCTGAGAATCGGATGTAAAAAAAAAAAATTTTTTCTTCCTCTTCGTCTTTTATTAGCGCGCGTAAACGTTCAAGGAAGTGCCCCGTCATAATTCGCCAGGACGCGAAGTGGTTTATACTTCGCACTTCGCAGCCGTGCATAGAGATATACGTTTCATCGGCAATTATACATCGTCGACGAGGCTCTCTTCCTTCGTTCGCATGTAATACGGAGCGTATGCAGCCGATAATTACACTAACTGTTGTATATACGCGTATCCTACGTTTATACAGAGGGTCGCGCGGCGCTCGTGCGAGGTAACCGAAAATAAAAACAAAACTAGGGCCGCAGTCGACGTGGTATAAGAGTTCGGAAGACGACTCGTATGTACCGAATGTATCTATACCCCAACGGCTCGAAAGGATAGGAGACTTGGAGCGAGTCTTAGCTTTATTATTAGATATGGCCGTGGAGTATTTTAGGGGTCTCGGTGTGCGAGCGCGTTACGCATACAGCACCTCTTCTTCTTCTTCTTCTTCTTCTTCCTTTTTTTTTCATTTCCCCGCGCGCGAGTGATCCTTCTTTCATCGACGCGGCGGAGAATCGCTCGGTGCGCGGGGAGTGCGAATTTTTTTATATCGCTGCGCTTTGGGTTGGGATAAAAATATACGCGAGCAGCGATTCGCGGGGGGTACGACACTCGTTGAGTGCTCGCACTGGAGCGCGTAAGTATTCGACGATTTCGGAAAAAAAAGTGTCGGCGTCGAGAGGAAAGAAACGAGCCGATGCGAGCGCGCAAAACGATGAAAGCTCGACGAAGGCATTTAACGATCTCTCGGTGTAAATCATACGTTACCTCGCGAGTACACGACGCGTCGGGGAACGTGTTGCAATGGAGAGGCTATACTCGACAATAGACTATACAACAATACCGAACGATTATTTCGATTCCAAGCATCTGTCGCAATGATTTCGCCATCGCACGTATGTACGATGCATAATAAATTTGCATCGATTGAGTTATCAATTGTCCAACTTGACGAATGACCGAGATAGACTTTTATTTCTACCGCGTCGCGCATGATGTACGTCTCGAACGTAATCGCTTTTTAAGTACTCTCAAAAGTCGCAGGGGGGTCCGGGTGCCACCAGCGCGCCACAAGCGTATGCGCCCCTCCTTCCCCAGCAGCACTGCAGCACGAGTTGAACGAACTGCAACTACGAGAGCGAAATTTCAAATCGAAGGTCTAGACTGCACTCGGTCAACGGTCGCATAGATCGAGATCCAAGCTTAGTCGTACGACACTATACCGGCTGCATCTTTTCGCCGTGTTAACTGTTACGTTTTTATTTTGTTCTTTGATTCACGAAAATGTTGAACG